CAGCTTGTGCAGAAATTACAACAGAACAACTTATGAAAGTTATATTGAATATTAGAAGGTGTTACAAGTGCATTGCAATGAATGGCGGATTGGTTGAAACAACAAAAATTTGATGAACGTTCATTCATGTTTCTGTCTACAATAATTTGTTGAATATTGTTTTTTTACTTTTCAGTCCATCATATACTTGAATTAATTCATGATAAAAATTTCTTTAATTCGACTACATAATTATTAATATTGAATATATTTTTATGAAATTTGGTATATCACCATTTGAAAGGGGACCCAGTTCAATGGTGATTTTGAATTTTTACTAAAAAATCGCAACTATGATTTCTTGTATATAAAATAAAGAAAATGATATTTGGTCCCAAAGTACAGCTTTTTGAGCTCTACAATTCAAAATAAATTCTTTGAAATCGGAAAAAAGATGCGGTGTAGCTTCAAAATATGTATTTTATTATACATAGGTACATATTTCTTCTTGATACAGTCTTCAGACACACTCCTGTATACTTATCTAGTGATGTGGACGGTTCATTTTACATTATAATTTGCTTTTCAAATTGGAATTAATTAGCANCTTGATACAGTCTTCAGACACACTCCTGTATACTTATCTAGTGATGTGGACGGTTCATTTCACATTATAATTTGCTTTTCAAATTGGAATTAATTAGCAAATGCGCGAGAGAACATGCATATTATAAATATATGCATATCAATCAGTCAAACAAGCTTTCATTTCCTTATATCATCAGAATAACAAGTATAATTGTAGAATATACAATAAATAAAATAGTTGAAGAAAAAATCAGAAGGAGAATTGTGATGTATTACATATATTTATCTATTTGGGACACTCGTTATATCATTCATCTGCAAAGTTAAAGTTTTCAAAGATATGTCAATTAAAAAGAACACAAAAAAATGTCTCATATTCATTTATAAAACTTTGCAATTTTTAAAAAACTGCATATTCACTCTAGCAAAACCCTTACAAACATTATTTAATCTTTCTTTATCTATGGGAATCTTCCCTGAATTCTGGAAGGAAAGTTTTCTAACTCCAATCCACAAATCTGGTGATAGAGAAAATATTAAAAACTACCGTCCAGTGAGCAAGCAATCTGAAATTCCAAAGTTGCTGGATTGTTTGATAACTAAAAAACTGGCTTTCGATACAAAAAACATAATGAATGAACACCAACATGGCTTTATATCTGGTAGATCCACCACTACGAATTTATTGCTTTATCAACATTTTCTTTTGAATAACCTAGAGGACAAACACCAAATTGACTCTATTTATACTGATTTCTCTAAAGCCTTTGACACGGTAAATCATGATCCTATCATGACTAAGCTCCTAGCATTAGGCATCAATAGTAACATGTCAAAATGGATAAAGAGTTATTTGGATAATAAAATTCATATGTTAAATATGCTGGTTCCATATCATCACAAATTCCTGGCGTCCCTCAAGGATCGCATATAGGCCCAATACTCAAATACTCTTCATTCTTTTTGTAAACGATGTGTCAGATGTCATACACCACAGTTATTATTCAATGTTTGCAGTGTTGCAATCTATGATTGAGAAAGTACAAAACATATTTCTGAGATCATGTGCATTAAAGCTCGGATATCTGAGGTCCGGCTATGAGTACTCAAGACATTCTGCTTCTTCTGAATTTATCTACTTTGGAGCACCGCCGAGCTGAAATTGATCTAAGACTTCTTCAAAAAGTTATAAATGGTGATATGAACTGTCCATTTGTAACACAAATGATTAACTTCAATGTAAATTCAAAAAGAACCAGAGTGTCAGAGTTGTTTAAAGTTCCTTACCATTCTACTAGCTATGGCTTAAATGAAACCATCACTAGAATGGTTAGGTTAGCAAATAAGAATAGCAGCTATATTGGTTTGACTCATCCTTGTACTCTTTTAAAAATCAGGTTAAATGTATTGATTTACTATGAAGAAACTGCTGATTATTATTATTAATAATTACTTAATTGACATTTGTTTTTTGATATTCTATATTATTGTTCATTTGTTTATTTTTTCAATCCCACTATCTATATGTTCATTGTATAATGGCAAGTCAGTAAATAAATGAATAAATAAATATTTACACAGCACATTTAACATAACCTTCCCACACGAAGCCATCTTATAATGAATGACATATCAGATTGGGAATTCCGTATCTGAGAAACAATGTTCAGACTGAACAGTAAAATATACTAACTGAAATGCCTACAAAGAGTTCTCAACTTGTCCATATTATTTTTTTTATTGTGTTGGCGTCACGGAGAGTAGCAGAGCACATCACCCAGCAGGCTGATCAAATTAGAACCCCAAAACCAAACTCAAGTCTGATGAAAAAATTTTGTGATCCACAATGCTTTGAAAATATTCAATAAATTGCTTTCTTTTGTAAGAGTAGCTAAAAGTTTTCAGAAAAAAAATCAAAAATCACCTTTTTGACAAGGTTTACAATATCTTAACAAAATACTACGATGACTGTCCATATATCTTTGACCACACCAATTTTATTTATACTTATTCACAATGTTTCCTCTTCATATATTCAGTCAATCGAAGAAACGACTTCTTTGCCAATTATATATTCAAATAATTTCAACTAAATTGATAATTGCATTGTCAAAATGCATCTCTTTAGAGATTTTTGTATCAAACATTTTTAGCTCTCGACTCCTTTGAATATAAGAGAAGATATTCTAGAAAAATTCAAAAATCAATTCAATAATCTGTATTCTACATTTTATATTTCAATAGATAGGTTGAGAACAGAAAGTTTTTCAAATCTATAATAAAAAAAATCCTATCCCCAAAACCTAACCTGCATGGACACAACCATCAAATATTTGCCAAAAGAATGACTTATAATCGATGGACATTTCATATTACTAATATGTATGTTTCGTCCCACATGAAAATTATTATTTATCAGCTTTTCTATATTTTTCTGATTGATTTCGCCTTTACTTGATGAAGATCCATAGTAATTTCATAAACTACACCTCACGGTTTGATCTCCACAAACTTTATTTGAAAAATATATCACGACAGTAGCTTTATCAAAAATAATTTGAATCACTATTAGCGAAACATGTCGTGGTATATTTTCCAAATAAAGTTTGTGGAGATCAAATCGTGAGGTGTAGTTTATGAAAAAAGCTTTCTATACTCGTAAATAAGTTATGATGCCATCACTACCACTCACCTTAATTTAACCGTCTTATGTGTCTGGCCTTATGTTGAAATATGACTGTGGAAATTCAGCCTTTCATCAAATCACTTTAACCACACATCACTGATATGTCCAGGAAATAACTCCAACGAGACACTCCAAATACAGATGAAACTACCTAGAAAAAAGAATTCATATTCAATATCAGCAACAGTATCTGTTCTAGTGTAATAAAGGGCAAACTGAAGAGTTTACTCCGAACAGGTACTGTCTATAATCAACATCTGAAGAGTCTAATTAGTCAGTAACTTATATTCATAAAGTATGCCTATCAAATATGATGAATGAATGAAAAAAACTATTCAATTAGCTTTCCTTACAAATGGTTGACGTGTCGAAGAGTACCATTTTCGTTCTCAAAACTCAAAAGCTTCCCTTCTTGACAGATTTTGAAAGGAAACTACATATTTCCAATCAAGCTGATTTCTACAAACAATTGTTGGTCTTATGAAAGGTGTTACTCCATTATTACTCATACTAATTACTACCTTCCTGATTTTCCATTAAACTTTCAATTTCTCGAAATTCTGCAACAGAAGATCCAAGATAGATGACTACTCGAAGAAAATATCTCAAGGAGTGGGTAGATTAAGACTCAAACACTATGATGAGTGATTTTAGGGAGTTGTATAATTTCCAACGATAAAAAAAAACTACACTTCGGATATGTTTCGGTGTGAAAATAGGACAACCAACTAAATCGAGCTCTAGCTCTCTATTTCAACTTTTTCAAACAAATAGCCAGGGATAACCGATATCATTTATATCCAGTAAGGAGTCTCCTTAAGGTATCGATACCAAAATTTCACTAAAGTAAGTATATAATAGGTCAAGATATTTGTGGTAGAAAAAAACCTGATTTAGTTTTAGCCAGAAAAACAGTATGAATAATGATGCAGGTTACTTGTGATAGTTACTGTGTTTTCCACCCTGGGTACAGCTTCATAGGAGAATATTGTCTTGTCGAGAGTGACAGCATAGCAGGGTAGGCCTAGGCGTTCGAACGAAGCATCAAAAGTACTCGTTACGTAATCACTTCAACTAAATGTCCAAATTGGGGGAGTGATTGCGCTACTGGATGAACTTATTTCCCAAGCAATGATCCAGGCTTGGGTGATGAATACTATCCTGGGCTATCTTCAACTAGATATTCGACATTTATATTCAATGGTATGTAAAACCAAGCTGAACTGAACCGTTACGTAAAGGCAAATTGATGTAAAGTAGAGTAGTCGATAAGCCCACGTAACGTAAAATAACAAGTAGAAAAAGAGAAAAAAAAGGCCCTAAAAAGAACTTATTCATGAAGAGTTTGACCGGGTTCACATAAATTTGAATGTAATACATGCAAAGGCTGATAAAACCTACCTGGATAATGGGTGGCCTAGAGCAGTAATTATTCAGTGTGAATTCAGCAAACTTGTGTAATTCGGGAACAAATCTTCTTGAAATAGTCAGAGGACCTTCCTTTGACTAACTTTTCCGCAAAATTACAAGAGTTTCAAAGAAAAATCCGCAAACAAGCGACACTCGTCTTTCCAATATTTCTAGAACACCGAAAAAACCATCATTCTGCTCAACTCTCCTTTTTTTCATATTTAACAAAAAAAAACCGCTTGATTTCAATGTTTTTCATTAGTGTCGTTCCTTATATTTTAGGTTGGGAACCCTGATATTTATAATGAAGTGACCGGGTAGTTCTAATGAACCTTCTTATGACAAGCAGAAGTGAGGTTATGTTATTTTGTTATGAATTCCCAAAATGATAAAAACGATTAGTAAACGGTCATTATTTTGGCTATCTACTCAAAAACAGATCAACATACCTGACGATGAACCCTACCCGTACTATCGACCTCGCTGGACTCGTCTTTGGTAAGTATTTAACTAAAAATTGTTATAACATTCGTAGTTAATAGATCTTTCTGTTTTAGGCATGGAAATATCAGCTTATCCTTGTTCTTAATGTACATATTTTATAAAAAGAAGTTGAATAAATATAAAAAAACTGTATCCTTTTTCTTATTTTTACTGCTATAACCTCTGGAACTAACATAACCCGTAACAAAGGAAAGCAACTACTTTCCGAAACGTCAGCCATTTGTACAGAAAGCTAAGTATATGAATTGTTTTTACGATAATCCATCTCAATATATTCACAATTCAAAAATTCAAGTTATCGACTAACTAGATTCTTCAGAGGTTTATATTAAACAGTAACTTTTCAGGATGAACTTTTAAGTTTCAATAGTGTAACGAAGAAGTCTAAAATGAGCCTAAAACTATGAATATATTTCTATATCACTCATGGTTGTAAAATATTTTTGAAAAATTATTTCTGCTTCTACCACGTGTGTCTGAGATAATCATCTAAATATTTGATTCAAAAGAGCAGCAAAAATGAGCTTATTAAATTATTGCAAGTTAAAATTTTCCAAAAAGAGAAGGATTTTGATTTGTTACTGTCAGATAAATGGTAAAGCTAACAGAACCACTGATTATGACAATACCTAATTCTGTGTTTGTGTTCTGCTAGTTTAACGTTAAACTGGCTGAACCCACAATATCTACATCAAACGAAAAGCAACAAATTCTGGAATAGAGGACAAAATGAGCATAATGATATAAAAATTCAAAGAAGTTGTGCAGGCTTAACAGGGGTCCATAGTGTCACTGAAATTCTCTTAGTTTTCCCTGAACACCGAATAGTTTTTGCAGTAAATTTCTACCCATCCAATGGTATCTCCACTTTCTTAAAAGTAGGAGCAAATAAAATCACAAACCCTCCCTATAATCATTCTTTTGATGTGATTGAAATAATAATTACTGAAGTTCCACATTTTAGAAACCCAAAAATCATTCATGCATTTAGTTACAGAAATATGTCACATCATTCTTGAACATATTCAGTGGCATCACTTGAAAAATTTTAGAAAGTTCTATTTCCACATACCTCTCCGGTTGATACTGATACTACAAAATATTGTCAAGAGTTAAATATTTCAGAGAAGCTGTTGAGAAAGTTCCATTTTGTGAAATTTTTTGAAAACCAAAAGAAATAGACTGCACCAATACACCAGAAGTCGTACGTGGTTAACGAAAAAACAGACAGGAAACATGAATTCTCAGGGCTCAAAAGTAAAAAATTGGAAAAAGTGCCTGGAAATATTAGTTGTGTGTAATTAATAGGCTGCCAAAAATAGAATCACGTTTGGGTGAAACCAAAAAGCATATGGATTACAAACTGTAACTTCAATCAGATGTCTGACATTGTTAGATTAGAACAGTAACTACATTTATCTTGACAACTTTGAACTCCTTGAAAATAAAATTTAAAAATCCATCTATTTTCCTTTGAAATTCTAATTGAAAGACAAGATTAGTCAATAGAAAGAGGGTCATGTTTTCAATCCTCTTTTTGAGCAGATCAAACCTGATGATATAAATATAGTCATTTATTCAGAAATAATATACTTTGAAAAAGATCATATGAAAACTAGACATAATTTCCTTTCCATTAGAGTTAATGTACAAGAATATAATTTCTGACTTGCCAATGTCCACAATGGTGTGGCCTAGCAATAGTTCAGGACTGAAATTCATAAATGTATCTACTAAAAGTAGAACAAGTCCATCATTATTTATAATTGCCATAACAAAAATTAGAAACTATTTTAAAATCAAACAAGACATCAACTTATATAACCAGTGTGAAGGTGGCCATGGGTTTTCATCCATGTGTTTGGTGAAAGAGAGGCGAGCGCGCTATTCCGCCATAGGTCTTTTCACCGCAATTATTCATATGGCTAGCCATGTAAATTTTTACATTGATAGACTCATTGCTGGAAACGAACTGATGTGATTAGAAGGCAGCATAACTTA